TCTGATCTTGATATGGTCAACATTGCACATGATGATTCCAGTTGGATTGTTGACAGTGGTGCTACTTGTCATGTAACATCACAGAGGGATTTTTTTTTCATCTTACACTCCAGGTAACTTTGGTAATGTTAGGATGGGTAATAATGGACTATCAAAGATTGCAGGCATCGGAGATATTTGTTTGAAGTTTGACACTGGGATAGAGTTGGTTTTACATAATGTAAAACATGTTCCAGATATGAGACTTAATTTGATCTCTGCAGGCTTACTTGATGATGATGGTTACAACAACAACTTTGGTAATGGAATATGGAAACTCACTCGTGGTTCTTTGATCGTGGCTAGAGGTAAAAGATGCTCAAAGTTGTACATGACACATCCGAAGATCTTCAAGGATAGGGTTAATGTTGTGGTGAATACTGACATGACTGATTTATGGCATAAGAGACTTGGTCACATGAGTGAAAAGGGGATGTCTCTTTTGTTGAAGAGGAATGTGTTACCGGGTGTGCATGATATTTATTTAAAGAAGTGTTTGCACTGTTTGGCAGGTAAACAGAATAGGGTTTCCTTTAAGAGCCATCCTCCTTCCAGGAAGGAGAGTATACTTGATCTGGTGCATTCTGATGTTTGTGGTCCTATGAAGACTGGGACACTTGGTGGTTGCTCGTACTTTGTCACATTCATTGATGATCACTCCAGAAAGGTATGGGTTTATACCTTGAAATCTAAAGATCAAGTATTTGAGGTGTTTAAGCAGTTTCATGCCTCGGTTGAGAGACAGACTGGAAAGAAGCTCAAGTGTATTCGGACAGATAATGGAGGGGAATACATTGGACCCTTTGATGCTTATTGTAGATATGGTATTCAACATCAAAAGTGTCCTCCCAAGACATCGCAGTTGAACGGATTAGCAGAGCGGATGAACATGACTTTGATGTAGCGTGTCAGATGTTTGTTGTCACATGCAGGGCTACCAAACTCATTCTGGGGAGAAGCTTTGAATACAGTGGTACATGTTATTAATCTAACTCCTTGTGTTCCTTTGTCTTTTGATGTACCTAACAGGGTTTGAAGTGGCAAAGATGTTTCTTACCGTCATTTGAGGGTCTTTGGATGCAAAGCTTTTGTGCACATTCCTAAAGATGAAAGATCAAAGCTTGATGTGAAGTCCAAACCATGTGTTTTCTTGTGTTATGGCCAAGATGAGTTTGGTTACATATTATATGATCCAGTCCACAAGAAACTTATTCGAAGCCGAGATGTTGTGTTTGTGGAAGATCAGACCTTGAAAGATGTTGAGAAGAAAGATACAGTTCCTCAACATAATGATGATGTTACTGATTTGGATCCAGTGCCTCCTCAGCATGTAGAACCACCTCTTGATAATGATGTTCAGAATGATGAACAACATGATACTGATGCCCTAGAATAGCCAGAGGTGGATGAAGAATTTCATTCAGAGATACCAGTACCAGACGTGCCACCATTTATCCCACTTAGGCGGTCTACAAGAGATCGTCATCCTTCCACCCGTTTTTCAGCTAATGAGTATGTCTTACTCACTGATGGGGGAGAGCCTGAGTGTTATGCAGAGGCCATGGAAGATGAGAACAAAAGGGAGTGGGTTGAAGCCGTGCAAGATGAGCTGAATTCCTTACATGAAAATAATACATTTGAGTTGGTGAAGTTGCCTAAAGGCAAGAGAGCTTTGAAGAACAAGTGGGTCTACAAAGTGAAGACTGAAGAGCACACCTCACAACCTAGGTACAAGGCTAGATTGGTGGTCAAAGGGTTCAGTCAGAGAAAGGGTATTGATTTTGATGAGATTTTCTCTCCGGTCGTGAAGATGAGATCTATTCGTGTTGTTCTGGGCTTGGCAGCCAGCCTTGATCTTGAGGTTGAACAGATGGATGTCAAAACAGCTTTCCTTCACGGTGACTTGGATAAAGAAATCTACATGGAGCAACCTGAAGGGTTTCAGGTTAAGGGAAAAGAAGGTTATGTGTGTAGACTTCAAAAGAGTCTTTATGGGTTGAAGCAAGCATCAAGGCAGTGGTACAAGAAGTTTGAGTCAGTTATGGGGGAGCAAAATTACCGAAAGACTACTTCAGACCATTGTGTTTTCTTCCAGAGGTTTGGTGATGATGATTTCATCATTTTATTGTTACATGTTGATGACATGTTAATTGTTGGCAAGAATGTAGAAAGAATTACTCAGCTGAAGATGCAATTGAGCAAGTCTTTTGCTATGAAAGACTTGGGGCCAGCAAAATAGATTCTTGGCATTCGGATCACTCGAGATAGAGCTTTGAAGAAGCTACATATGTCACAGGAGCAATACATTGAGAAGGTGCTTCGCAGATTCAACATGGACAAAGCTAAAGAGGTTAGTTCACCTCTTACTACCAACTTCAGGTTGACAGATAAAGATTGTCCATCTTTTGAGAAGAAGATTGAAGAGATGGATAGAGTTCCTTATGCCTCAGCTGTAGGGAGCTTGATGTATGCTATGGTGTGCACACGACCTGATATTGCCCATGCAGTAGGTGTTGTTAGTCGTTTTCTGTCAAATCCAGGTAAGAAGCATTGGGAAGCAGTGAAGTGGATTCTCAGATATCTATGTGGTACTTCCAAATTGGGTATAACATTTGGAAATGAGAAGCCAGTATTTGTTGGTTATACTGATTCTGATATGGCAGGAAATAAGGACAACATGAAATCCACTTCTGGATATTTGATGACTTTTGCAGGGGGAGCTGTGTCATGGCAATCGAGAATGCAAAAGTGTGTGGTTTTATCCACCACCGAGGCTGAGTATGTGGCTGCAACAGAAGCATGCAAGGAGCTATTGTGGCTCAAAAGATTTATGCAAGAGATTGGCTTTATTCAATAGCGCTATGTGGTTCTTTGTGATAATCAAAGTACCATTCACCTTGCTAAAAATTCTATGTTTCACAAACGAACCAAACATATTGATGTGAGGTATCATTGGATTAGAGATGCACTTGAAGACAAACTGTTTGAACTTGATAAAGTTCATACCGATGATAATGGTGCCGTATGTTGACGAAGGTTCTAGCAAGGGAAAAGTTGAAGGTATGTTGCTCCATCGCCGGTATGGCGAACTCTTCCTCATGAGTCAAAAAGGGGGAGATTTGTGGGGTTTTTTCTTTGTTTTTGACCCATGAGGAAAGCCCGAGTATTGAGCCCATTAAAAGTCTTCTTTGACTTTGTGTGTTTGGGAGCTAATAATCAAAAATATGGGTCAGCCACTATCTTACATTCGATGGACAAAAAGAGAGCAGCAGAAAAGAGAATACAAGTCGTAAACATGAGCTGAGTGTGCTCATCCCGTTTTTCCAGCAGGCAGCAGCAGAAAACTTCTGTTTCCCGGAGATTGATCTGTTGGATCGTCGTGATTTTTGGACAGAAGCTTCACAGCATCTGAGCCAACATTCTGGACGGTGGAGATCGGGTTTTGAGGTCCGGAGGTCGGGTTTCGTTGGTCTGCACAGTAGCTATTTTTCTGGTGATATATTTCTTATCTTGGCTCTATTTTGATTCCATACACCTTGATGTGCTTACTTCCAAGGATATGATGACTTTTTATGCCTCTAGTACTATCTAGAGAAGACTTTTTACTGTGTGTGGCAGCAATATTGTGTGTGTTCTAATTGCATTAAGAACGCCCTATTTGTTTGCATACTCAAAGGTTCATTCAAGTTGGGGAAAGTTTAGCTAAACGGAAATTAATTCCGCATTTTATTAGTTCCGTTTGTGACTGTTTTTCCCATCACTCACCTTGTTACTTTATATTATTATTATAAATAAAAAGAATATACTTTTTCCACAAAAAAGAAAACAAAATATACAAAGATCGTGATGGAGTTTTCCGTATATCTCGTAAAACAATATCTTTGCCATTTTGAGCCCTAATTTGCTTGACTTTTGAGGCCGCGCAAGTTTCACTAGCCAACAGGTGCGATCCGATCTCACCTAAGCGTTGAGTATGAGTGTATAACAATTTGTTTCTCCACTTCTCCCAGAAAGTGTTCGATGGGGACGACGCCACCAAGCTGCTCAGTCATGCCATCAGACATCATTCGCTCTATACTTCTGCGATTGCCCGTAAAATCTCTCCTCCGCTTCCAAAGCGTTTGCAAAGAGTGGCGTTCGTTAATACTTCATCCGTTCTTTTTTAGTTGCAATGGTTAACATTTCACACTTGCCAGTTGCCACGCACGTCTTTGACCGTAATTATATCTTAATCTCTATTAGTAAAAAATATTTAAAAATTAGATTTTGAAAATTTGTAATGAGATGAATTGAACAATACTTTTTTTAAAAAAATAATTTTCATAAAATAATAATATAAAATGTAGTCAAAGTAGAACATGTGAACAGTGTAAAATTCAACATGTTGCGATTAAAAAGAGACGGAGAATAGTACAAGATTCGCATTTCAGGCATTCGTATTCTCACAAAGATCGGCTGATTGTGGTATCTGACAGGCTGAAACATGCCAAATTAAAGAGTCTTGAGGAATGTTAGTAATGGAAGTGTTAGTAAGTGTTGATCCTAACACTTGTTTGGGAGAAAAATCCAGAGGTGTTAAGAATTGTTAGTAATGGTTAGGAAGTGTTAATAATAACCTTCTCAACACCTCAATTGTCCATTTTTTTAACACCCCGATTTGGAGTGTTTTGAGGTGTTGGACAATTATTACCCTTCTCATTTACCCGAAAAACATAAAATGCTTTGACATTTCACTTCGAATGTCTTTCCCACGGGTCTGATGGTTTGTTTTTTTCATCTCTTCTCTTTACTCGTTTCTTTTGTCTCAAGGTAAAATTATTAACACTTCCATTATTAACACTTCATTCATTTGACTCTCCCAAACAAGTTAAATTATGTCTAACACTTACACTTCCCTTCCCTTCCGAGCCCTTACTAACACTTCCATTACTAACACTTCCATTACTAACACTTCCAAAGTCCAAACACTCCATCCAAACAGGCCGGGTTAGTTCCGTTGACAGCTACAACCTTTGGCTTGAAAAGCTGTACGATTTCACAGAGATTTATCCATTCTTAAAGGAACACCCTTCCATAGGCTCCATATTTTGGGTTCTTGCAATGGGTTAGTGCTTCTGTCAGTGGATAGCCATATTTTTCTGTGGAACCCATCCACCCGACATTGTACAAAAGTGCTTGAGCTTGAATGCTTGACAGATTCTGTAAGAGGCTTTGCATCAGGATTTTTTTATGACTCTTCCCGGGGAGACTACAAGGCCGTCCTATTACTTCCCGATTTTGTTATTGTTGCTAGCCTCAGACAGAAAGAGTGGAAACAAGTGTCCTCCCCTTATGACCTGCTTTTAAACAGGGCAACCCTTCACTTTCTTAATAGATTGCATTTGGTACTAAATGGTGTTAAGGTTTCAAGACTTCCCTTATTCACGATGCGAGAAGCTTGTGTATTTTGATCCGGATACTGAAAAGTTTGAACTTTTGCCTACCCCTAAAGTTAAGGAGGGAGGATTCAACATAATAGGTGCTTTGGGAGTTATACAGGGTTTTCTTTCTATGGCTCTTTTTGTGAGTAATGATATAGAAATACTTGCCATGAAGGAATATGGTGTTGCAGAATCATGGGTTACTTTGTATACCATCTCACAGCATAAACTCTGTGTTAGAAACAATTCCTATTTTATCAAATGTCCCCGAAGGGAAAATTCCAGAGTAACATTTTATTCTCAGAAGAATAATGTTCTCATTTGTGGCATTGGGTTCACTGGGAAATATTTGTGATTGATATGAAGACAAAAGAAAGAAGAAGAAAGACTGTAGTAGACTGCGTAAAGGCTGAAAACGTTGTTGGTACATGTTTGTACGCTGAAAGTCTTGCTTCACCTCATGAATATACTTGGATTGATGAACAACACAAACACTTTTCCAAGAAGATCAAATGGATAGGACCCAATTTGAGGAAAAGGAGAAAAGACAATTACTAAAAGATACTAGATTATATGAGGTGAAGCTCGATCAACAAGGTCGATGCATGTCATATGTTGCTCCATTTTTTGTTTCCAAGTTGTTAGATTGTTATTTTCTCCATATCTAGTCCTATATATTTTAGTTATTTGTTTGAATTGTATAAGAAATATAGAAATATTCACCATTTTGTTCCATGTTGCTATTATACTGTTATAGCTATTTTAAAGGGACGGGTATGTTGGACTTGAGCTATATTGAGTGCTTAAATGTGAACGACAAGCTACTTTTATGGGATTAAATAAAGGAAAATTTTATGATGCCTTTACATTATGGAGTGTTTCAGTGCATCTCACATGTGTCTGAAGTCTATTGGTAAATTATACAAACTCATATTTTATTTTTAAAATTGCTTGGAATAATAAAAGTAGTCCAATTGGCCTGGAAAATTGCAGCTTAAACCCTTCAATCAAACTCGTTTGATATTTTTCAGGTCGTTTGCTAGGAATTTTTCGACGCAAGAACCGGCCTTCTTCTCCTTCCATTTCTCTTCCTTCTCTCCTTCATATCGTACCTAAAAAGTTCAATGTCCCAAAAAGAGCGTATTGCCCCAACCGACTTGTAGGACTCGCAACGTCAAGCAAGAATTCAGCCTGAATTCTGATAATTTCGATTGTATATTGTAATTCTTTATCTCTCCTTCAATCTCAAGTTTGATCAGATTTCATACAAACAACAACAATGCTCAAGCAATTAACTGTATTAACTATTTATTGATCTTTTTTTAATACTGAAATGATTGTAGCAAATTCTCTTATTTTGAGTTTGGGAACTGGGTAGTATTTTGAAAATCTTGTTAGTCTAGTTCATTGTGATTCTGGATTTTTAGCTTGTACTAACTAACAGCAAAGAAAAACCACTTCATAGCCAAATTTAGGACTCAAAGGGCTCTCACAGAGATATATAGACTGGCTAAAGCTTTGCCACACCTCCTGTTTCTACAACTATTTATTGGTCTTATTTGTGGTTTTAATCTGTCTGTCCTAATTTTGAATTAGCATTGTGAATTGGTTGATTTTCCATTTGATGGAATGAGATATTCATTTTTAAGTCATTAGACAATTTGATGATGAGCTAATCTGTATCCTGTACAAAAATGCGACTGCGTTAAATACATTAAATTGTTACTTCATATGTCTTATGTAAATCTATGAAGTATTGATTAATCTTCATACGCAAGTAATACAAGCCTAAACAGTCCATTGTGATTTCCAATACATGTCTCTCATGTTAGGTTACTATTAAGAAAATTAATGGAGGTGTTCGACTCCAGGCTGGGTTCTTGGGATTTTATCCAAATTATAACTTCATATTGAAATTGTGTTAAAATCTTTAGGTAGTAGCTTGCACTTTGAACCTCTATATACATTTTAGCAAATTTCTCGTTACTATGGGAAGTGCACCACAGTTGCTTTTTGCATACCAATGACCATTGTTACCTCCACAATCTCATAAAAATGGATCACTAAATAACTCCTGGAATAATGGCCCTAGACTGTCCTAGAAGAGTAGATTTAGAAGCTCCCAACCATCATGAATAAAGACACAGCCTGATATAGGGACACAATCTGCAATCATCTTGGAGAAGAATAGTGAAGTGTTGCCATGCTTATAAAGCATATGATTAGGCATTAATGAAGGCACATGTAGATTGAATCCTGATTTTCAGGTAGCTGTAGAAGTTTCATAAAAAAAACTCTTGAGGAAAGTGATAATCTTTAAGTTCTGATTTGAGTGCCAAGTTACTCCACTACTACTTGTGATTGAGGAAAATGTATTTGTTTTTTAAATAAACAATACGTCTTATAATTATTGATAGCTTCAACCATTAGCTTCAACCATGGCTTAGTCTTGCTAGAATTAGTCTATCTCATTTACATTTAAGCTTCTACAGTTATGTTTAATTATTTTATCTTATCCCCCTCATTCTAGAGATGAGGGAATGAGAGGTGATTATCACAATATGGATAGATATGGTTGCATGGCTTAATAGTGATGCAGGGTTTTCAAGGGGCAGAAGTGCAGGAGGCGCTATTTATTCGACATGAAAATGGCTCTTTTCCTTCAGCAATTCCTTTCAAAATATATTCTGTAAGCTGAAATGCAAGTAATTTTTAAGGGTATAGCTGATTTTCAGCTAGAAACAGATTCAGAAGTTACTTGTAAATTGCTCAAATGAGGAATTGGGAAAAGGGATTGGCGACGCTTCAGTTTCAAGTGGTTCATTGTTACTAGAAATGAATTTGGTAGCTCACATATTTGCTCAAGAAGGTTTACGGAAGTGGGTATTCACAGTTGAGGAAGCGGTCTAGCCCAGCTAGTCGCTGAATCACTTTTTCTTACGGAGTTACGGGAGGTCTCGAGTTTGAAACTCAATGAACTGAGTTTCGGTCCTGGTTACTCTAGACCCCGGCCCCCTCCCCCAGACTCTCCTTCGAGTAAAAAAAATGTGGGTATTCTCAGTGTACAGATCTGAAGGTAGGATATTCAATTCGGTCAATGTACTCATCCGTCCTGACGCTGCAAATTTTCTTGCTATCAGTCTTTAATGTTTTTTCTTTTGTTTCTGCCTACAGACGTTTCTTTTCCTCATTTTTTTTTTTGGGAAAAATCAATCACATTACTGAAGAAGATCGTTCTGAATATGAGTTGCAATAAAAGTTGAAATCTGCTCAAATGTACTACTACGGCGTTTCTTTTCTTTAGCGTTGGGATTTTAATCATTTTGTATTCTACTAGATTTTTACGCGTGCGTTGCACGGGATGTCTTTAATAATTATTAAAAAAATTCAATGACTAAGAAATATAATGATAGAGATTAAAGTGAATAGAGCATGTTTATGGCCAATTAAGAGCCCATTTGGTGATCCTGTTTTTCAGTTTATCAGACTTATTAATCCACTTTTTCACCAAACACGTAATTTTTAATTTGGCGCGCTAAATTGTATAATGATACGAAAATGTAAGCTCTGAAATACTCTTCTGACTGTATTTGCTGAAAACCTTAAATTTATATAAAGAATCATTTAGTTATTTTTCATATAATTTTTTCTTTATTGTATTAATACATTACTCCGTATATTTTAATTTTTTTTGCATAAATTAGCAGAATCTGCCACTTAAGCTGAATTAGCAGATTCAACCGATTCCGGTATTATCAAATGGGCTCTAAAAGGTGATGAAAACTGCAAAGTTCTACACCTAGTAATCACCGATATTTAAAACTCTCTAGGTTGGTATCATCGTAAAATATAATAAATTTGAACACATATAGGAGACTTACTCAAAAGTCTATGATGTATTCTACTCATGGATAATTTTGCATGAAGTATAATAAACACATCAACAGTAATCAAAGACTGGAGCCAAAAAATAAAGCATGGGAGCCACCAAAAGGACACATATAATCAATGCAAACCAAGTGGGAGTCTCAAACCAACATACCACGGGACATTTGGCAAACTATTGTGGAGATCACTATTTACTACTTTACACATGTATAACAAATAATGGGTGCTGGGATCGGTTCTAGGACCCTAAAGAGGGTAGGATTATATTTAAATCAATTATTATGAAACGGAAGATCTGTATTAATTTTAATATTAAAATTGTGTTAATAAATCCCGAACTAGTTATACCGGTCATTTTTTCTTTAATTTAATGATCTGTAATCTTTAACTAACATGAACAATATAATCTTCCCATATTTTTATGAGTCATAGATTAATATTAAACATCAAGAGTGTATAGATATTATATTCTACTAAAGTAATTTTAGAAAGATCTGTCGAGTATCCTAGCACCAGCCGTGTTTCCCGAAAATTTGCAGATGACAGACAAAAGGGAGTTTTGGCAAGGTGAGTGACTCCGGTGATCTAAATTGCTGAGGGAGGTATGATTTCTCTATACTATGTGTTTAATAAAAATCTATACTAATATGAAGTATAATAAACACATCAACAGTAATCAAAGACCTTCCCTGCATTATGGACTTATGGTAATTGGCAACCCCTTTTTTGAGTGTATTAATGTATAGTTGTATAGGTGAGGAAGCGGTCCAGCCCAACTGGTTACCGACTCATTCTCCCTTACGGGAGGTCTCGGGTTCGAAACTCAATGGAGTGAGTTTCAGCCTAGATTATTCCAGGCTCCCCCAAACCCGCTCCCCCATACGTCCCCTGGAGTAAAAAAAAAGTGTATAGCCGTATAGGTCTTGTGAATAAGTTTTTTCTTCGGGTTTTTATCCTTCGATTTGAGATTAAATAAGACATCCTGAGGTCATTTGGTAAATCTCAAATTGACTGAATTGACTGATTCTGTTAAAATTTGTGAAGTTCAGGTTGAATTGACTTTATTGGTTTAATTGGCTTATTTCTTAAAAAAATATACTTATAATAATTTCTATTAATAAAATGGATAAAATAGCTAAAATGTAACTTCACCCAATGTAGTCAGAAAAGTAATTTCAACCTCATTTATTTTGAATATTACACAATAAGCACGCAAAATCAAAAGTTCCGTGTTTGGTAAAAAAGTTGGTTGATGAGACTGGTAAGTCTCAAAAAAGAGTTCCCTAACGGGCTCCATATGCTCTTAATTTTTTTTAAAAATTACATATACAATATTGGTGTCAAATGAAAGCTCATAAAAAATTATGAATTGTGATGTACGAAGTATTTTTTATACAATGTAGAGCAAAAATAAAAAAATTAAAGTTGTTTAAAGACAAAATGGATTTTATAATTATGAGGGACCCATCTTATTGCTACATACGTTTGTGGCTTACTCCGTATGTGAGGTAAGAATCAGATTGATACTCGAAGTTGCATAAAAAGGGTCAAATAAGTCCTTAGTGTCCGACCTCAGATTGGTACAATGCGACAATCCCTATAAAGTCTTGAATTAAGCCTGTGTTCCTATCATAATTTGGACTCGTTATATGGACTTGTATATTCCAGTATATAAGTCCATTGTAAATTTTAAATTTGATTTAAATATAGTGATCGTATTTTCAATAAAGTAGGTTCCCGTTAATCATAATCAACAGTTTAACATCGTTCACGCAAATCCACTAGGGAACCCATTGGACTTGGCTATATTGAAAAAAACATATGCAATTACTAACACGGTTGTCGTATTCAAGCTTACCCATTAGGAAAGACTTGTATGTTTTTTTCTATTCATACTTCTCG